CTGGTCCTCTAAGCCCTCACCAGATCTAGGCTTTCTCTAACCTGCTCCTTCAAATTCTTCCAGCCTGTGCTCATCCCTCAGTTCCAAAGCTGCTTCCACATTTGCAGGTATTTGTTATAAGCAACACCCCCTACTTCTTGGTTCCAATTTTCTGTATTAGTCTGTTTCTGTTGCTTATTAACAGAATACCTGAAACTGGGTAATTTATAAATAAACAAAATTTATTTCTTACAGTTTCAGAGGCTGGGAAGTCCATGCTCCAGACCATGCTTACATCTGGTCTTTATTCCTGTTGGATGACTCTCTACAGCAACTCAGGGAATCACATGACAAGAATGGGCTGAGCAAGAGAGCTAACCTTCTCAAGCACTTAGTAAAACAGAGCATAAAATTGCCATATGCTGAGTTAGATCCCTCTTATCATTAAGACTACATGTGTTGGAAATGTCAGCAAGAAGAGGAGGATTTTGTCCATTTTGGTTGTGCTAAGTGTCTAGGGCCCAGAAGCTAGGACCCAAGAATTAGATCTGTGTTGTCTTTAATACAGTAGTCACTAGCACATGTGGCTGTTGAGCACTTGAAGTGTAGCTGGTTTGAACCGAGATATGCTCTAAGTGAAAAATACACATTGGATGTTGAAGACTTTATATGAAACAAAGACTGTAAACTATCATTTAGTAATTTTTACTATTTATTACATGTTGAAATAATAAAGTGCACCGTTAAAATTAATTTTACCTGCTACCTCCTTTTTTTTTTTTTTGCAGCTGGCTGATATAGTGATTAAACCCTGGACCTTGGTGTTATCAGCACCACTCTCTAACCAACTAAGCTAACTGTCTTGCCCTGCTTTTTTCTTTTTTAATATGGCTCTTTAGACAATTTAAAATTACATATTTTCACAGCTCATATTATATTTTCATTGCACAGTACCTCCCTGTACAATTCTGTGTTTTCTGACTTAGTTAGGAAAGAAAAAATGAAAGCAACTAGAGAGAAACAACCTTTTATTCCTAAGTTTCTCTTATTCATAAATTAATTAACCTGTCCTACCTCAGAAGTTTCAAATGGCCAAAATCTCCACAGTTCACCTTACTCTATTTCTCAGACACTGTCCTTTTGAGAATAACTTCATAATATAATGCCTGTCTTTTTTTTTTTTTTTCCTTCAGCCCTTCTAGTCTAGTGGTGAATGGATGATAATTGTAATGCTGAAATTTTTGTCCAAAATTCCTTTACCAGAGCTGGCCGGTTAGCTTGATTAGAGTGCAGCCTTATAACACCAAGATCACAGGTTCAGATCCCCTTAACTGCCAGCTGCCAAAATTCTAGTACCATGTCAATTCTACTGGCTTTTTTACATTTCTTTGTAATCTTACTTATCTGGAAACTAATGAAAAATATTTTATATGGAAATACTGTTACAGTAATGTTTGTCTTAAGTCATGATTATCAGAACTCAAAAAGTCATTAAATAAATGTTGAGTGTCTCAGCTAAGGTATTATGATGGACAGGGGTATCACACATACTGTATGTCCTCAAGTAGCCTCTACTCTAGCCAGGAGGTATACACTCAAAGTGAAATGACTCAAGAAGAGCAGTCCGAGGCAGGGACTGTGTTGCCAAATGGTTCATAAATGACACTGATAGCAAGTTGCTGTTTTAATCTAATATTGACCCTAAGAAGTTCTCAAGCATGAGCCCTTACTTTCCTCTCTCTATGGATTCTTCTTGGTTTTAGTAGCTCTGCAAGTACTTCAAGTACACTAATTCTATTTTCTGGACTAATGTGTTGCCCAGTTGTAGAATTGCAAAAAAGCCTTGAGCATGGTTCTGAAGCATCCAAAAAAAAACCAAATCATATCCCCTTCAAGTTCTTTGTTAATCTAGTTGCCTTTAGAACTTTAGCACTAGTAAACCTGTTATATGCAAGACAGTATTTTCTACAACCAAATTAGATTAAAAGAAAACTGTGGATTCTGTGTCGGGACATCTTTAGTGAAAATGTTTCTGTTTTGTTTTGTTTTTTTTTCCTTTTTGTCTTTTCTACTGACCGGTAATGGGATCGCAACCCTCAGTGTCGC